GGAATTACAAAATTAAAATGGGCATACCCGTTTGTACAAAGAACAACAACCCAAAAAGTGTTTAGGGAAAACAACTAATAAAGGCCTGTTTAAGAAGCCAAAATTAGCAGAAAAAGTCCAAATCAAGAAAGGGATAAAACCCTTTTCCATCAAACCAGCACCCTCTTTAGCAAGATCAGCCCAAAACACCTTAGAAGAATTAGCATCCATATTAAAGATAGGCTTCCTCATAGCAGYAGCGCAAGAAACATCCTTAAGGCCCACAACTTCAGTCCCCACAGCCCAAAAATCCTTAAAATAAAAAGGGGTCCATTCCATAAGAATTTGGGCCGAGTAAAAAGGATTAATTGTAATCCAATAATTAATATCAAGAGCCCAATACCAAATAATAAAACCAACTCTTAACTTGAGGCCCAAATCCAGAACCTTATCACACCTGATCAAAAAAAAAAATCATCTTCAAATTGTAATCGGCCATGGAACAGGTCGCAAGCGAGGAAGACACATCCAAATCAGGAGTAGCCGCGCCCTTACAATCGATAGCAATCCAAATCCATAACCTCCATTGTTKCCCCCTTCCAATCGCAAGCAATCCGAAGCCACCAAAGTTGTTGGAATTGCAAAAACTCCAAAGAAATCGATCCATACAGCAGAAATCRAAAACCCTAATTTTCGAGCAAATACCCAAATCTCCAAGCATCCTCGTATTCCAGATCAGCCATCGATTAGAATTGATGGTCGCAATTTCCCATCCAGTTGTATCGATGTCCATTGATGCAAACAAAACCCCAAATCCTACACCATCGGTTAACACCTCAGTACCATCAATACTCATTGTTATAAAGTCATCGTCTTTTTGCACCACGGTGAACTTGCAGCAGGAAGAGAAATTAAGAGAAGTGTTACGATCGGTTACTACTCCAAAGTCAATCCATCTATCATTTTTATCCTTGTTAATTGGAATCCAAAAATTTGGAATCCAAACTTCATCCTTTATAAGATACCAATTGTGAAAAAAGCTCACTCTTTTGTGAAGAGCTGTGGTTAGCATATGAAAAACCTTTGTGATGCAGCATAGGTTAGCTGGTGGCTGCATCAAGTGATCACACGAATTATCATCCCAATTCACAATATACCAGTTGTAATTCAGAGATTTCCCAAATAGACTCTTAACATAAGGAGAAATATTCCAAAGGAGAACAGCCCTACTAGACTCATAGTGAAACCCGTAGCTCGTAGCAAAACCAGCTAGCCAAATTAAGCAAGAATCAGTTTGGCTAACAACCCCCGCACAGCCAAAAGCCAGAAACCCTTGCAGGAAAAGACTAGAAAAAGAGAATAAGGAATTTAAGAACATAGAAGGAAGACTGCCAAAGACCGAAAGCACTAAGATCAAGAAAGGAAAAGAATAGAGAACAAAACCAATCCCAAATAAAACAGCAAGTCCCATAGTGGTAATGAAAACAGCCGGATCAGAGATCAACAGCCATAATACCAAACAGAATGGGACATAGGCAGCCATCGCGGCAGGATCATAGATCAACCACCTACTGGAAGCCCAAGACCAAAAAGGGGGGGAGAGCAAAGTGCAGAAGAAGCTGAAAATGGGAAAGGTAGGGACCAAAATAACAAAGGTCCAATAAGAAAAAATAGAGGGGTTGAGCTCAATAAACCCCCAACAATTGAAATTGCATAACAGGAGATAAGACCAGCCATAATCAAACTCCCTAAATTCATAACTCCAGCAACTAAGAAGATCCTTCCATAACACATCAAGATAGGAAATGCAACTGCCATTAAGACAAAGCGATGAGTAGGGGGAATTACTCAAAATCAACAACCATCCCCTATCATAAACAATATACCCATCAATCCCTCCAAACCCAACCAAGCCTCCAACTACCTCCATATCACTCCAGATAAAAAAAATAGGTACCTGCAGGGTAAACAAGTTAGTATAAAAGTATATTGTCCCGGTCCCCCCGTCAAGAACCCAGAGAAACCCAATATATCCCGGTCCACCCCGTAAGAACCCACCCCAAGGATCCTCAAAAGCTGATATAGGAAGAGGGAAGCAAGAAAAGAAAACATGAAGACTAGACAGCACCCACAGCAGCATATCCAACTCCCACAAAACCAGGAACCAGCAGACAAAGACCAAATCAGTTTTGATCATTGAAATTCGAATTGCAGGTAAACTCACCATTTTCAAAACCAAGACCCCAAACCACAGCAGCCCTTTTAACATTCTCATTGCTCTTCACATTCAGACCCATAAGCTTCATTTTTATCAACTCACATATTTGTTTAGACAATTGTTCAACCGATCTGCAATTGTCCGAATGGAGTCTATTGTTCCTTTCTTGCCAAATGAAGTAAATCACAATAGCTAGAAGAAGCCTATGAATAATACTCCAAATAGAATTGTTTATAGGACTACTAGATAGCCAAAGAACCAGCTCAGACCAAGAATTAGGAGTACCCTTTAACACCTGAATTTTGCCATACACACCAGAGAATCCCTCAAGACATCTCCAAACCTCCATAGTATACATACAATCAACAAACAAATGGTTATGAGATTCTATTCCATCATGGCATAGAACACATATACTATCATCAACCATATTCCAGTAGGCAAGTCTATCCATAGTTCTCAGTTTTTCTTTAATTGCTAGCCACAAGACGAAAGCGTGTCTAGGAACTCCTTGACTGAACCAAACCAACTTGGACCAGGGGACTAACTCAGAATGCATGTACATATCATTCCAAACGGCACCAACAGAAAAATCAATAATAGAGCCTCCCGTGCTTTTCCATCTAACTTTATCACATCTATCAGCAGTAAGACACGGCATATATTGTTGCAGAACATAACCATACTTGCACCATATTTCTGGRGGCCAAAGCCATAAACCATCAACAACTATATCCGAAACTTTTAAATTAAGYTGCATCTTAGCTTCATAGATCTCTCTTCTCGAGATAAAAGAAGCTAAAGGGCCCGCAGGATGCCAATAGTCAAACCATCACCCAGATTATGCACAATATGGTCTCTAAACACATTTCTAAAGCCAATAGCTTTCCTCCAGAACCAGGGAGCATCATTAACATTTCCCACWGCCCAAAAGTTTCTACCTTTCAATCTGTATTCATGTATCCATTTGACCCATAAMGACTCACCATTTTCAACGATTTTCCAAATTTGCTTGGCCAAAAGAGCTTTATTCCAATTCTTCAAGGCTTTAACCCCAAGACCCCCCATTTCTCTWGGCAGGCAGACAGATTTCCAGCTGACTTTGGCTTTACCTCTAACAGCTYCCCCACTACACCAAAGAAAACCCCTCAAAAAAATTTCAATCTCTTTAACCACAGAAACCGGGAGGAGGAACAAAGAAGCCCAATAGACACTGATAGACGAAAGCATAGAATTGATCAATTAAAGTCTACCCGCAAAAGTCAACCACTTATTTTTCCAGTCCAACACTCGTCTTTTAATCTTATCAATTAAGCTCACACAATCCTTATGAAATAATTTGGATGATAATAGTGGAACACCCAAATATCTAACAGGCAAAGTTCCCAAATTGAAAGGAAGAATCTTCATAATTTCAACACGATTACACCCCACAACATTGCCCAAAAAAGAAGTACTCTTTCCCAGGCTAGGCTTTAGACCCGAAACATTACTAAATTCCATCAACGCATCCTTGAGCACACTAACAGAATCAACATCCCCGTGACAAAACATCAAAAGATCATCAGCGAAACAGAGATGAGTAATGCCTAGCTTTTCACATTTAGGATGAAATTTAAAATTCTTCTCAACTCTGATTTTCCTTTTAACCATAAGAGTCAGCACCTCCATCACAAGAGTAAACAAATAAGGAGAAAGAGGGTCGCCCTGCCTGATACCTCTTTTACCCGGAAAAAAGCCATGATGATCACCGTTAACACGAATGGTAAAAGAGGCAGAGGTAACACATTTCATGATCCAGCAAATCATACAAGGGTGAAAACCGAAATGTTTGAGGGTAGACTCCAAAAAAGACCAGTTCACCGTATCATAAGCTTTCTGGATGTCAATCTTGAAAGCACACCTTCTGGTGCCTCTCTGCCTGTGATATCCACGCATAAGCTCCTGAGCCAGAAGAATATTATCACTAATATGTCTGTTAGGAATGAACGCAGACTGATTAGGATCCACCAGGAAGTTGAGGGAGCTTTTAATCCGGCTAACAATAATCTTGCTGATGCACTTAAATAGTACATTACATCATGCAATCAGCCTGAAGTCAGCAACATTCTTCGGGGATTGGGATTTAGGAACAAGAGCAATCACAGTAGCATTAACCTCGTGAAGCAATTTTCCATTCTCAAAAAATTGTTGGACAGCCAAACAWACATCCTTTCCCACAATAGGCCAAGCTTTCTTGAAAAAACAAGAGGAGAAACCATCAGGGCCAGGAGCTTTTGTATCCTCAATATCAAAGATGGCATCACGAATTTCCAAATCAGAGACATGCCTAACCATGAAGTCAGCTTGCTGARTAGATAATCTYTTCTGAAACAGAGAARMCGGATCAACAAAATCCATAACAGATTCAGACGTACCCAACATGGACGTGAAATGCTTAACAAACTGATCTGCAACATTCGACCCAACAAATCTGTTACCCGCCATATCTTCAACTTCATTGATTCTACCCTTATTGACTTTGGTTTTAACAACATTGTGAAAATAAGCAGTATTAGAATCCCCTTCTTTTAACCAATGAACTTTAGATCTCTGCCTTAGGAATTTTTCTTCAGCAACCAGAGCATCTTTCAAAGCTTTTAGATAAACTGCCCCTCCAAATGAACATCACCATTCTCCGGGTCCGCATCCATATTAGACTGAGCAATATCCAATTCCACACGCAGCTTTTTAACATTATCAGAAACATTACCATTCTCAATGTTCAACTTTCTGATACCCTTTTTAACATCTTTTAACTTTGAGACAACAGCAAACATATGGCAGCCCACAACATGCTTGTTCCACACATTATTCACAAGAGGAAGAAATTTAGGGAGGTCAGACAGGTGGTTACTGAACTTGAATGGCTTAGCACAAAATTTTGAAGGAGCAAATAGGGAGACAACAACCGGATTGTGATCAGATAAACCGTAAGGCAAAAAGGCAGCAACAGCAGCAGAAGGAAAAGAGCCCATGAAACAAGCATTACCAAGAACACGATCAAGTTTTTTTAATAAAGGGTTTAGGGTTTAGGGTTTAGGGTTTTTTTTTTTGATAGAGAGGGGAGTGACCCCTCCAGATCAAGAAAAAAAGCTAAAAGCCAAACAATGAAGTGCGCGGGAAGGAGGAAAACCTCAACTACCAGCCAGAGAAACCAAGGCATCTCGAGGGGAAAGAGAAAAGAAGAGGACAAGAAAAGGAGAGGGGAGAGAAGAAAGAAAGAGAGAGAGAGAGGGAGAGAGAAAAAAGAGAGAAAGAAACCAACCACAAGGGAAGGGCCCAGCCGAGCCACGGCCAGGAAACAACGGGGATGAACCACAAGGGCAGGAAAAAGGGCCTAAAAAAGGCACACCCTAGACCGCACCAAGAGAAGCAACCAAGCAAAACGCTCACAAAACCAAAAGCGATAGCACACAGAGACGGAGAGCTAAGGGAGATTCCAGGCAAGCCGAGCCCGGACAACGTTAGGGGAGGGCTTGAGGGTCAGGCTAAGGAGCCTAGACCGGACATCATCGGTAATCGTCTTAACCACCATAATATACGATCTTCTTTTATTTTTGAAGAT